GATCCAAAAGGGCTGGGATGTAGCTGAGCTCCAAGGCCCTAGGTTCAATCCCCAGAACAAAACAGAACAAACAAAAACAAAAAAACCACGCACACAAAACAGAAGGAAACAAAATATTATGGTTTGTGTCTAGCTGTCCCCCCCAAAGCCTTATTCGGTCACAGGTGGGGCTCTTTCAGAGGAGGCTGCATCTAGAGTGTGACGCTGGGATTGATCCGTGGTGCAGTGCTAGCTCAAGGGCACTAGGATTAAGGGCGCGAGTGCTGCCCGCCCTAAACAGCCTGGATAAAATAGAAGGGGCAGAAGAGGTTTGTCTTCTCCCGGTGTTGCCTTTGCTACCTTGTGGGCGCCATGAACTGTTTCAGCCTTGGATCCAGCCCATTATGGACTCAGACCTCTACACACTCTGGGCCCAATAAACCTTTCCCCCTTTAACACTGGGTGTCGGGTATTTTGTCTCAGCCACGAGAAAAGTAACCAGGACAACAAACAAAAGAGAAACGTCCTTGGCGTCCTTCTCAAGGGTCTGACCGAGGAGGAGGATTCCTGGACCCTGGGGCCTAGGATGGTGCCAAGGCACCGCACACTGACTGCGGTGGCAGGTGACATTGTCACGACCTTGTGTCCCCATCTCCCGAGCCCTCCTAGGTCCTCCTGTTGCTTGGTTGGTATTTGCGCAATTGAGATTTTCAGCTCCGAACCTCCTCTGGGGTCAGCCTGGCTGTAAATGCGCCAACAATACTGATATCAAATTTTTTTGTAGTACCAGGGATCAGACTCGGGACCTTGTGCTTGCCAGGTCAGCGCCAGAGACACTGAGCTAAACCCCTGGCCCCATGACGTCAATTTTAAGTTTAGTTTTAGTTTTATTTATTTATCTATTTTTGAGGTGGGATCTTGCTATGCTGCCCAGGCTGGTTTGGACTTCCTGCCTCAGGGTCCTGAGTACCACTCAGTAGCAGCGACTTTTTATTATTTCTTACTAGAAAGGAAGGTCACTGAGTTAAGTAGACAAACTCTAACACTTCTGAGGGCACACAGGGGAGTCTGGCGATTTTAAGGTTTTCTTTCTTTCTTTCTTTCTGTTTTCTGTTTTTTTGAGACACTGGTCTTACTATGTAGTTCAGGTTGGCCTTGAACTCACGGTGATCCTCCTGCCTCAGCCTCCTGAGCGCTGGGATTGTAGGCATGTGCCACCAAGCTGGGCTGTCCTGGGAGTCTTGGACGTGCTGATGGCATCCATCCCAGGCCAGGCATAGTGGCCCTGAGGTTTCTGCAAACTGCTCTGTGGGGAACTCGCTGCCTGCAGACCCTCCTGACTCATTCTCATGAGCCCTTGGCTCCACGTCACCGTGGAGGGGCGACCCTCGGCCACCCCACGTGACTTCTCCCCACCAGCCTGCCCCATTACTCTGCTTCATTTTCTGGAGATATTTGTTACCCTCTGAAATCATCATCTTTTTTTTTTTTTAATTGGACTGGGCCCCAGCCCCTTTTTTATTTTGAGACAAGGACTTAACAAAGTTGCTAGTTGCCCACCCAGGGCTTGACTTAGAGATCCTCCAGGCCTCAGCCTCCTGAGTGCTGGGATTATAGGCGTGCACCACCATGCCCATCTATGGAGGCTGGTGATTTTAATATTTGCTTCCTTCAGAGTGAGCTGAGTTCAAGAAGCACTTGGAAAAGTGACTGGAACGTTGTCTTCTTGTTGATGTAACCTGAGGGCCACTTTCAGATGCCACCAGGGAGTCTGGAGGTGGCTGGTGCAGCTGCTTACTGGGTTCTTATCTTCATGGTCACAAGATAGCTGCATGGCTCCAGGCATCACATCTGATTTTAGAGAGAAGACGTGATATTGCTAAACCCTCTTGATCTCCACTTGTCTGTTTTTCTAAAAAAGAAAACCCTGAAGCTAAAATTGAGTGATGTGGCTTCTCTCCACTTAAAGAGCTAAGTGGGACCATTTAGGCAGCTTTGGTTCCTGTCCCAGGTGAGCACAAGTTGAAAAGATTGATCACCGACAAAAATGACATTGGGTTGGCATGGTGGCGCAGGCCTGCAACCCCAGCTATGCAGGAGGCTGACGCAGGAGGATCACAAATTCAGGTGAGACCCTGTCTCACAATAAAAAATGATTTCAAGGGCTGGGGATTTAGCTCAGTGGTTCCGGTGCCTGCATTGCAAGTGCAAGGTCCCAAGTTCAATCCCCAGTACCAAAAAACAAACAAACAAAAAATTTTAAAACAGGGCTGGATGGGGTCGGGTATTCAGCTCAGTGGTTTCACCACCTGCTGTGCAAGCGTAAGGCCCCTAGTTTGATCCCTGGTACAAAAAAAACAAAACCAGGGCTGGAAATGTAGTTCAGTAGTCAAAAGGAAGGAAGGAAGGAAGGAAGGAAGGAAGGAAGGAAAGAAAAAGAAAACAGTGACATTCACGTAAGGGACCAAAAGTGTCTCACAAATATCGGCTGCAAACCAGGAAGAGTATTTCATTTATTCCTGTTTTCCTTAAAATTGTTAATGTTTAAGCGCATCTTTTTTTTCTGCAATCCTTGTTAGATTTTGGTCTCAAAGATATGCAGCCATCAGGACGTGGTGATGCTGGCTGTAATTCTAGTCCTTGGGAGGCTGAGGTAGGAGGATCTCCATAAATTCAGCAGCCTGAGCTGCCTAGAGAGATTATGTCTCAAAACAAAAAAAACAAAGAAAGAAAAAAAGAGTAGAAAGCATGAAAGATACAGTTGCCTCAGGAAATGAGCCAGTGAGCATGTGTCTTTGGCAGCCGTGCCCCTCAAGGTGGGTGGTAAACATGGAGTTTCTGCCACCTGTGCCCTCTCTTGTGACCGCTGGGGCGCCGCTGGGGTGCCAGCCACCCAGACGGTACGTAAAGATCAGCCCCACAGCCTGTGGTTTGCCTGCCCCTGTCTGGCCTGTGTTTTTAACAGTTTTTTTAAAGTTTAGAATTATTTGGTTTTTAAATGGGGAAACGCGACCGTCTTACGTCAGGGGCTTGTTTTGGATCCTGAGCGTTTTCCTACAGTGGTGCCGTTTCCTTCCCCGGCACAGGGCTGTCCTGCCACCTCTTCCGAGCCGTGCTGGACAGGCACGTGGGGACGCCTGCATTTGACTAAGCTCTCAAAAGAATGCACAGAGTCTTTCATGATTAATGCTCTTTGTTGTGGCAACTTATGCACAATGTGAAAGGCACCCTCAGAACCTTTTTTTGTTTGTTTTTTGAGACAGTCTCACCATGTAGCCCAGGCTGGCCTTGAGTTTGCAGTGATCCTCCTGCCTCAGCCTCCCGAGTGCTGAGACGGCAGGCGTGTGCCTCCATGCCCAGCCACTTCTTGGAGTTTATAAAGGATTGAGCCAGGCGCAGAACTTACCTGTGCGGAATGAGCCCCTGTCCTGGACGCCCATTCAAAGGAGAACAGCAGCTGTCTATTCTACCCAATGTCACGTTCGCTCTCCCGCTGTCCCCGGCTGTCCTGGCTGTCCTTGTGCCTCTGGCTCCCTGTTACCGGGGCTGACTTCCTTCCCTGGGTGAGCGGTGGCCTTGCCCTGCCTGGGGGGCCCCTCCCTGGTAGAAGGAGAGCCCTTTCCCGCCCTGGCCCCGACCCTCAGGACGACAGAGCCACCTGGTTGGCTGCTAGGGCAGCGATCGAGCCCACGGGTGCCAGGACTCGGCCTGGGTGTGGGCTGTGGGAGCCGAAGGTGAGGGAGGCTCAGTGTGGGATGGGGCGCACGTGTGCACACACGCACCCGAGGCACAAGAGCCCTTCACATTCGAGAAGGAAGAAGCCAATGGAAAATCTGAAGGTCAGAGAAGACAATGAGCCAGATATTAGGCAACAAGCTCGACGTTGCTTGATTGGGGTGGATTGTGTCACCGGAAGGAAGCCACCCTGGGGGCCGGGAGCCTTGGCTTCAGTGAGCTGTCCTCATTCCCAGGTGTCAGTCTGCCATCCCAGCTCAGTTGCTCGCTTATTTATTTATTTATTTATTTAGGTTTTTGAGACAGGGTCTGGCTATGTAGTCCAGGCCTGCCTTGAACTCACTATGTAGCCCAGGCTGGCCTCAAACTCGTGATCCTCCTGCTTCAGCCTCCTGTGCGCCATCTTGCCTGACTTCCTTCACTAACTTAATCACCCCCCTCGGTGCTGGCTGACAGGGTTTTGGGCATCCTGGGCACAGCCTCAGCCGAATGGCCAGGCAGCTGGGGGTCTGCGTGTGTTTAGGCTGGAGGGTTGCAGGCTCTCCTGGGAACCCCAAATGCCAGCCCCAGCAGCAGAAGCCCACAGCAGATGGGAGCTGGGAGCGCTGGGCCTGAGGGGCACTTGTCCTGCCTGTCCCTGTCTCAGAGCCCCTGGGAAAACATCAAGTGTCCCCTTTGCTGCCCGGGGCTTGTCTGACTGTCCTCAGCCTGGCAGGACTCGTACTGTGCTGTCTACACTGCGTCCCTTCTGCAGGGGCCGCTCAGACCTACTCCCCAAAGACGGGAGTGTGGGGCTCGGGTTTCTGCCAATGCGGAAGGTTCCAGAGCTCCGTGACTGTCTGTGCCTCTGTCCCCTCACTGAGCAGAGGGTGACGAAGCTAAGTGGCTTCCTTGTCCACACAGGAAGGGGCCTCAACACTGCACACAAATCTACTGCTGAAGCCTCAAGACAGAGGTAGCAGCGTGAACTCCTGACGTTGGGGAGGCTGAGGCACAGAGCGGCTGGATGACTTGCCCCAGGTCACACAGCCAGGCACAGCTGGGCGGAACCCTGTTGTTCTGCTTCAGAATCCTTGCTCTTGACCTGGATTCCTTTGAGATTCTTTTAGCTTATGAGCTTTGTAGATCTAAATTATCCCTCCGCCCGCCCCCCAGGCTGGCCTGGAATTTGCAGCGATCCTCCTGCCTCAGCTTCCTGAGTGCTAGGATTACAGGTGTGCACACCACACTGGGCTTTTGGGTATGTCCCTTCGGGATGGTGACAGGGAGCCCCTGAAACACCTCGCATGCCCTTCCGCCTGGGCTCTGTGTGCCAGCAAGGCCGGTCCTTGGCACCTGACGGCGTGGCGCGTGCGCGCGGGAGCCCTGCCTGCCCTTTGCCCTGCCTGAAGGGCACGGACGCTGCTGCCAGCGCTCTGAACGCCGGCTTCCCCGTACTGCCCGAGCAGTCACGTCGGCGGCGTGGTTGGCCCCGATGTGCCCAGGCGTCAGAGTCAGAGCGATCAGGCCGAATCCGGGGAGCCCCCGCCCGCCCGGCCTCTGGCCACGTGCTCGGGCGTCTCCGCAGGGGCCCCCAGATCAGCAGTGTCTGCCTGGGCCTGGGACCCCCAGTCCTGCACAGACCCTGTGCCGGGCCATCTCCCTTGCAGTCGCTGCTGGCAGCACAGGCTGCCCTGGTCCCCGCGAGACAGGCCGGAAATGCCAGTGGGGATCCGGGGAGGGGGGCACAGCCTAGGACGCCCCACGCAGCCGGCAGAAAGGGCAGAGGAAGCCCCACTTCCTGCCGGCCCCTCCTCCGGCCCGGTCCACAATGGCCGCTCTGTGCAGCTCGGGCTCAGGTGCGGTCGGGCAGCCCGGCACAGACACGGCTAATTGGACAGACACGCCTGGCACTCGGAACCCACTGAGAAGGGCCATTGTGGGGAGGTGTTGTTGTTCAGTGGGTGTAGGGCAGGGCAGATCAGCCAGCTGGACGGGGTGTAAATTGTTATTTACACTTGCTGAGCTTTTAAAAGCAGAGCTGCCCCAGCACCTGCGCTGCTGCAGACCTCAGTGCCATGGGGACCCTGGCGACTCTAGTGACCCTGCTCCTCCTGTGGGCCCAGGCCCCGCGCTGGTCCCACTCTTCTGAGTGGACCTACTCAGGTAAGGGTGGGGCTTGGGGCTTCTGGGTCCCCCACATCGGTGTGGCACCTCAGGTAGGTTATTTTTTTGGTACCTGGGATCGAACTCAGGCCCTTGTGATTGGCAGGCAGGCACAGTGCCACCGAGCTACATCCCCAGCCCAGCTGGGGTTGACTTGCTGTGGGTTCAGATGCTATCTTTTCTTCTTTAAAAAAATTTTTTTAATTGGCACAGCACTCAGTAGGCTGAGACAGGAGGATTGGCGTTGGAGTTGGAGGCCAGCTTGGGCTACATAGCGAGACACTGTCTCAAGAAACCAAAAAAAAGAAAAAAAGCAGGCATGGGGATGGAACCCCAGGCTACACCCCTAGCCCTTTTATTTATTTAGTTTTTTGAGACAGGGTCTTACTAAGACCTATAGTGCCCAGCCTAGGGTCAAATTTATAATCCTCCTGCCTCAGCCTCCCCAGAGTGCTGGGATTACAGGAGTGTGCCCTGTGTCTGGGCAGATGCTGCCTTTTTGATGTCTCCAAATGAATGGAGAACAAACTGAACTCAAACTTCCATGCAGGAAAAGGAAATTGCTCCCCCTTCCCAAGCCCTAGGTTCATGCCTGCTCAGTGCTTCAAACTTTTTTGCCCCATGTGTTGGCAGTTTCTGAGCCAAAATCCATTTGCCTTTTTGGTCTGTGTAAGCAGGAGACGCAGCTCTTAGTGGGGACCTGTCTCTTCCCACAGGTGCTGTGGGGCTGTGAGATTCCTGGAAATTTCCCCAGGCACAGTTTACCCAGAGCCGATTTTATTTTCTCTTTTTTGTTTTGGGAGACAAAGTCTCACTGTGTAGCCCAGGCTGGCCTCCAGCTCCCGGCAATCTTCCTGCCTCAGCCTTCCGAGTGCTGGGATCACAGGTGTACACCACCATGCCCTGCTTTGCCCAGAGCTTCTGGATTTGACAGAAACCCATTTGCCTTCAGGTGGCTGCAGGCTGCCGAGCAGAGTCCTAAAATGTGACAGTTAAAGTCCTGGCATTTGGCATGGGTTCTGCTCATAGGTGAGCTGAAGACAGGACACTAGATGTCACTGCACGTGGTACAAGGACATCTCCTCCCTCTTGGTTCCGTACTGGGCCATGGAATGGGGTCCCTGGGGGAGCAGCAACAGGGGACCGAGCCACCCTGCAGGCCCCTGACTCCAGCACACAGGATATGGCCCCGGATGGGTGTGGCAGCCCTGCCAAGCCAAGGGCAGTAGAGTTGGGGACATCCTGGGTCTGATGTCACAGTGTCGCTCCGCTAAGCCACACTGTCCCATGGACAGGAGTTACCACCTGCTGCCAGGGGTGTCCCAGCTGTTGGCTTCCCCTGGCCAGTGCCCTGCCGAAGCTTCAGGCTGCAGGAAGAGGAGGGTCCCGAGGATGAAGGCCCCATCCTCCTGGGCTTGGCCCAGCTGCAAGGTGGGGCGTCAGGGGGTCCTGGGCACCCCGAGAACCCAGCTGGCTCTGCAGGGCCATCCAGGAGGACTGGGGAGGCAGCCCAGAGGGACAGGGCCTGGGGAAAGGCATTGACCCTGGAAGAGGAAGGAAAGTTTAAGACTGGGCTGGGTTATTAAGAAGGAGGAGAAGGGCAGGGAACTGGAGAACTAATTTTTCTATTGAATGCATTCGAGAATCTGAAAGGCCGACTTAGGAACACTGCTCCTAAAACACCGTGACCCTTGAGTAGCTGGGACTACAGGTGCACAACTGTGCCCAGCTTTTCATTAAAAAAAAAAAAAGTCTTTCCTGATCTCTCCCTGTTGCCCCTGTGGTTTTACCATCCCGGGGTTGCAGCCCGAAGCACGGGATGGGGCAGGGGCTTAGAAGGAGTGCAGAGCCTGGGGCCCCCGAGGAAAAGCCCGCCCCACCCAGCAGCACCCAGCCGCTGTTCCCAAGCACCGAGCCCTGGTACCAGCTGGGGTTGTTGGGACGGGAAGTTTACAGGTTAGCACCAGGGTCCCCTAAACCAGGCCCGCGGAGCTGGCTCAGGTCCCCTGGTCCTGCTGGGGCCCTGCTGTGTGGGCCACGGCCCGGCCGGCCCCTGACCTGCGTCTGCTGTCCCCTCTCAGGCGGGGAGCTGGACAAGGAGCACTGGCCGCGGGAGTTCCCTGAGTGCGCGGGCAGGCGGCAGTCGCCCATCGACCTGCAGAGGCGGAAGGTGCGCTTCAACCCGGCCCTGACGGCGCTGGACCTTGAGGGCTACGGGGACAACCAGGCTGGCCAGTTCCCCATGACCAACAACGGCCACACGGGTAAGGGGGCGCCTGGCGGTAACGCACCTGGGGGTACAGAGACCCGAGCAGCGTGGGGGACGCGGCCCAGGGCTTCAGACTGAGTCCTGCCGGCTGCTCCCCGAGTTCCCCTCCTGGACCCCAGCGGCAGGACGCGCGGGTGACAGGTGACAGCCAGGACCCCCTGCGCCTGTGCCCCTCTTTCTCTGTTGAGTCTGAAACCATAAAATTTGTGCTTGACTTTTGCAAAGAAACCCTGGTTTTCCAGTGGGCTCCCCTGAGCCTCCCACACCCCCATCTGAGGCGCTTCCCAGGTGGGCAGCCTGGGGCAGGGAGGCCCGGTGGGCATTCACAGGAGGTCACACGGCCCCCAGCCTCACGGACTCCGGTTCCCGGGTGCCTCAGGCTCGTCCTTCCGGGACACCTGGTGCCGTCACGCCTGCCGGGTCCTGGGCCCCGTGTGTGCCCACACACAGGTGCGTGTTGCACAACTGAGAAAAGTGATTGCTCACTGTGGGGCCAGTGACGAGAGTAAACAGAGTAAAGTCACAGGGGCAAAAGGCTGCAGGTCTACGCCTGAGATCACGGACTTCTACAAACCATCAATGAGACCCCCTGGCCTTGTCCCTGCTAAGCATGCATGCTACCTCGGAGCCTCTCTCTCTCTAACAGGGTCTAAGCTATGCTGCCCAGGCTGGCTTCCAACTCCTGGGCTCAAGTGATCTTCCTGCCTCAGCCTCCCAAGTAGCTGGGACCATAGAAATCCCCCACTGCCCCCCACAGCCCCTATATATTTTGTTTGTTTGGTTTTTTGGTACGGGGGATCAAACTCAGGACCTTGCACTTGTGAGGGAGGCATGGTGCCACTGAGCTAAATCCCTGGCCCTTGAATGGTTGTTTTTTTTTTTTTTTTGTGGTACCGGGGATTGAACCTGGGACCTTGCGCTTTTGAGGCAGGTGACGGAACCACTGAGCCAAATCCCGGCCCCCATTGAATGGTTTTTATAATCATCTTTTGAAATCATTTGGCAGCTGTAAGTTTTCAATAAGTTCCAAGCACATTTGGGAATTCTACTAAAGGAAACAAAAACTAATATACAAGAGGGCCGGGGATTTAGCTCAGTGGCACCGCATCTGCCTCAAAAGCTCAAGGTCCTGAGTTCCGTCCCCGGTACCAAAAGCAAAACAAAACAAAACACCCTAATATACAAGTTAAACTCTAATGAAATGTTGATGAGGCTGGACAGTGGGCTCTTCCACTGCCTAACGCTGCTTCAGTTTCCTCCTGGTTTTCCTGTTTGAACAGCCCGTTTCTTTTCAGCATTGTTTGGAGGGATCCCAGTTTTTACTTACCCATCCACTTGTTGAAAGTCATCTCGGCCGTTCTCAGGTCCTGGGGTGCAGGTGCCCCGTGTGGGCATACCTTTCAGCTCCTGAGAGTGTGTCCAGGCGGGACACGCTGGGTCGCGTGGAAAAGGTGTGTTTAATTCGGCAGAAACTGCCTTCCAAAGTGGTGACTGGGTTCTTCAGTTTCCCCTGCACTCGTACCTGTGCCGGCACCTGGCACCAATGGTGCTCTGGGCTTGGACGGGCTGGCAGTGGGTGGCGGGGCCGGGCATTTGTACCTGCCTCTGATTCCTGATTTGTGCGCTCCTTTGCCGTCTGTGTATCTGCTTGCCAGAGGGGTCTGTCCCATCTTCTGTCCTTTTTCAAAGCAAGTTGTTCGTTTTCCTATTGTTGAATTTTAGGTGTTCTTTGGACATTCAGGATAGCGGCCTGTTCATTAGTTTTAATGAAATCCAGCTTCTCTATAATTTCCTTCATAAATTGTACCTTTGGTGGTATATTTAAAATGTCCCTGCAGGGCTGAGGTAGCTCAGGGGTAGAGCACTTGCGTGACACGTGTGAAGCTGAGGATTCCACACCAGCACCACACACACACATATACACACATATACACACATATAGATATATGCCACGCGCGCGCGCACACACACACAACCAGGATTGTCAATACTTTTGCATTTTGTGTTTAGGTCTGTGGACCATTTGGAGTTGATTTTTGGGACGGCAGCAAGGGCCCTCGTGCCTGCCCCCAGCCCAGTGATGGGGAACCCTTTAGAGACGAGCACTCAAACTGCAACCCAGAACCCACTTACTTATCGCAAAGTGCCAACCCTGCAATTAAACCGGAAGACTGAGGTTTTAGTTTAGAGAAAAACAACTTTACGTTAACATCTTTTGTCTTAAAAGAAAAACAAAACAGACCTTTTAATGATAGTTTTTATTGAGAGGCAAAATTTGCATTTGCTGTGCTTTTGCACAGCTGTGATCTTTGCTGTTGTCTGCACGCTGATAATTTGTCAAACCTGGGCTCCTCCTGTGTGAGTTTGAGAGCAACACCTGCAGTCCTCAGGCCATCTGTTTATTTCCTGTATCAGATTTGAGAGAATCCAAAGCAGAACACAGCTGCTCACAAGCATAAGTTGCTGGGGCAGCGTGGCTCGTGTGCTGTGAAGGAGTGGCCATAGGTTCGCCACGACTGCCCTGGCCCTTTTGAACAGGTTTTGATCTTTGGAGGACGGAGCCTGGTTTCGACTTTTGCTTTTTTTTTTTTTTTTGTACCGGGGATCGAACTCAGTTTCTTGCGCTTGCGCAGCAGGCGGTGAAACCACTGAGATAAATCCCCGGCCCAACTTCTACTTTTTAACTTTTAGTTTGAAACAGTTTTAGGCTAGGAAAACTGCGAAAGCGATACAGAGCGTTCCCACACACCCTCTCCCACTTCTAACTCTCGTCTTCTAACCACAACAGTTATCACTGGGAATTAATGTGGATGCAGTGAGATTAGAGACCTTGCTGGCTTTGTATTGCTTTCCTACCCCGCCCTTTTTCTGTCTAAACCAGGGTTTCCTGTCACAGTTGTTCCCCATGGCCATTGAGTCTCCCTGAATCTGGGTCAAAATCAGGTGCTTGCACTTGCGAGGCAGGCAGTGGAACCACATAGCTAAATCCCTGGCCCTGATCACGTCTTTTTAAAAAACGTATTTATACCTGGGTGTGGTGATGCATGCCTGTCATCCCAGCACTTGGAAGGCTGAACCAGGATGATCTCAGGAGTTTGAGGCCAGATTGTGCTACACAGTGAGTTGAAGACCAGCCTGAACAACACGGTGAGACCCTGTCTCAAATACATATACATATAAATATAAATATATATATATATATATATGTATATATATATATATGTCCTTCTTGGTCCATGTTTGCAGTACATAATGACTGGATTCACAGTGGGGTGTAGGCACAGGTACACAACACATCTTAATTATTTTATTCTCCTTCCTCTCCTCTGACTGTTTCTTGAGCACAGCAAATGGTTAGATGATATGATGTGGACCCCTATTTGATGAGAAATTGGTTAAGTTTACTCCCCGTGAAGGAGAGCAACCTCTTTGGGAAGCCGAATCCATTTCCAGAATCTGGAAGGTTGAGCAAGTTGAATTTTGGGACAGAGATTTTGGCTTTCCCCTTTCGAAACCATAGCCACAAGCTCAGCCTTACCTGCTGCCCAGCAGTGGGGCTACAGGGCTGAGACATTCCGCCCCCTACTCTGGGAACTGTTTCAGGGGACGTGATTATCAGGGTCTCGCTTATTGTTGTCTAGAGCTACCTGTCCTTTTGGTTTTTTCAGCCGTGGTTTTTTTTTGTACCAGGGATCAAACTTGGGACCTTGCACTTGTGAGGCAGGCGGCAGCACCACTGAGCTAAATCCCTGGGCCTGTTTTTTGAGACAGGGTCTCACGGTGTAGCCCAGGCTGGCCTCGAACTTGTGTCAGTCCTCCTGCCTCAGCCTCCCAAGTGCTGGGATTACTGGGGTTCATGACCATGCCTGGCTCTGGCAAGGCCCTTGTTTTCTGAAGAGGAGCTAGCCAAGTCCGGGGATGTGAGCTTGGCAGTGGGCATCTTGATGCTGGGTCCCCTCGCCCCGTCAGCCTCCTGTCCACACCGCGGACACGCAGAGCCGGCAGGGGGCGCCCTTGCACCCGAGCAGGGCGGGCGGCAGGGGGTGGAGTCCAGGGCACACAGGTCAGGGCTGTAACATGGACCTGACCTCACCCTCGCGAGCCAGGGTCGCCCTGCTGGAGCTGCTCCGGGCCCCTGCAGTCCTGGCCCGCCCTGGGTGTGGATGCGGAGGTGACAGAGAGCGGCCTGCCGGTCTGAGAGCCCGCTGTCCCCTGCAGTGCAGATTAGCCTGCCCTCCAGCATGCGCATGACAGCCTCCGACGGCACGGAGTACCTCGCCGTGCAGATGCACTACCACTGGGGCGGCGCGTCCTCCGAGGTCAGCGGCTCCGAGCACACCGTCGACGGGATCCGCCGGGCCATGGAGGTGTGTGGGGACCCACAGGGTCCTTTTGCCTGCAGACCCCACAGCCCACTCCCTCCGCTCTGCCTGAGGCAGGGCCTCGCTCTATAGCCCAGGCTGGGCTCGAGCTCATGGCGATCCTCACTGCCCACTCTGTCCCCTCAAGGGACCCCTGATGCCCTGGGATTTGTCAGTGCCCTCGGGGCCGTTTCCGGTGTTGGTGAGGGAGGCAGAGGTCGCAGTGGGGGGGGCAGCCTGCGGCCTGGGGTTATGGTCTTTCCTTCCGTCCTTGGGAACCGTGAGGTCCGAGCTGCCCTGACGAGCTACCTATCTTGCTCCCACAGATTCACGTGGTTCACTACAATGCCAAATATGAGAGCTACGATGTGGCCAAAGACGCCCCAGGTGGCCTGGCGGTGCTGGCCGCCTTTGTGGAGGTAGGCGGGCTCTGCCTGCGGTGTAGACTGATGGCTGGGAGGGTCAGTGGAGACGAGGGTCTGCCGGGCTTCTCTCCCCGTCCTTCCCGGGGCCCGGTCCGTGGAAGCCAACTCAGTGGGAGACCTGGACACCGAACCTCCCTCTAGCCCCTGCTCCCCTCTTCCAGGCTGTCAGCCTTGGGGACAGATGCTGTAAGAGGCAGGAACCAGAGAGGTGACCAACACAGACAGGTCGAAAGGGCAGGGCAAACCTCTACCCAGCCAGACAAAGAAAACAGCTCTTTTTCTGAGGCATCCTGAGGGTGGCTTGAAGTGGTTGGGAATTGAATTGCCAAAAAATAAGTATTAAACTGGGTAAAATTATATTTAAAAAAAACCCCAATAAAAAACCCCAAACAATCAGGCCTGGGATTAAGCTTAGTGGTGCTGCCACTTGCCTTGCAAGCGCAAGGTCCAGAGTTCAATCCCCGGTACAAAAAAAACACAAACCCCAGACAACCATTTCCACAACACCACAAAAACCAAAAACAAAACAAGAGCAAAAATCCCAACCATTTCAATGCTCTGGAAATGGGCTAAGGCAAACCACAAATGAAGGCATTTGCTCATGAAAATGGTTATAATTAACAAAAAAAAGAAAATGGTTATAATTTAAGTAAGAACTCGTGGGGTTCTCACCTGGGGTGTTCCTGACTCTCCAAGCTTGGTCACCGGGCAGGTTTATCAGGCAGTGCGGTCAGGGTGCCCAGGACGGCTGCAGCAGGAAGAGAGTCCTGTGGACACCACTGGTGGGAAGAGCCCTTGGGATTAGACCTGTTCTCACCAGCCTTTCTTCCCCGATGCTGACAGGCCAACAAGAAGAGAGCCCTGGCCAGTGGGCCTCTGAGCCCCAGCCCCCAGTCACAAGGCATCCGACTGTGGATGAGACCTCCCTAAACCAGTGCCCTGGGCAGTTTTCAGCACGGCTTGGTCACTTTCTCAGGGCTGGGACAAAATACCAGACACCCACCACAACCTTACAGGAGGAGGTTTATCTTGGCTCATGGATTTTAGAGGATTCAGTCCATAGTTGCTGGCTTCAAGGCAGGAAGGGCCTAGCGGAGCAGAGCTGCTCACCTCATGGGCCTCAGGAAGCAGTGAGGGGAGGAGCCAGTAGGGATAACTCCGCCCAGACCACACCCCATGACCTGAGTAGGCCCCACCTCTTCTAGTCAAGCCCCGCCTCTTCGACCAGGCCCCGCCTCCTAACTCCCATCCATTGGGGAGCAGCGCCCAGTTGCTAGGAAAGCACACAGCTGCATCTTCCCCGCTGCGGTTAACTGCTCCTCCTTTCTCCTCCAGATTGAGGACTACGCTGAAAACACGTACTACAGCAACTTCATCTCCCACCTGGACCGCGTCAAGTACGCAGGTAGGACGCGAGGGAGAGCACTGGGCACGCGAGCAGAGTGAGGACAGGGTTGCGAGGGAGTGGCGCTGCCGAGGATCTGAAGGCCCGGGCCTCTCCGGAGGTCCCCCGTCCCAGTGGTGCCGCTGCTGGCTCTGACCGGGGCACAGCCCTGAGGAGCTGCTCGTGGGCACTTGGAGCTGTGTGACCGATGAGAAATCCGTGTTACATAGCAGACGTGGCCGGGAGTCCCCGCACATCCCCCTTGCTCCCAGCACACTCATATTTATTGTTCTTGCCACTTTCTGAAGCACCTGGAAGTCCTTTTTGTGTCTTCAGTTGCACTGTTGCGGCTGCCTGGGTGTTTGAATTGATTTAAAATGTTTATTTTTCATGGTTATTCTGACTTTGGGGAAGAGCCAGTGGTTGAACGGTGCTAGATCTGGAGAATGGGTGGATGAGGACACGCGGTGAGCTTTTTATGAGCTGCCCTTCAGTTGGTTGGATGGCCCTCAGCGGCAGCCTTCAGCACGTTTTTCTTCCCGCCCTGTGTGGACACTCACAGAAAGGGACTCCGGGAACTGCTCTGAAAGGGAAGAGAACAGTGGCCTTAGTGTGTGTCCCTACTGACCCTCACTCTCCCATCCCCCCATTAGGACAAAGCACGGTGCTCAGCAGCCTCACTGTCCTGGACATGCTGCCCGAGGACCTCCTCCACTACTACAGCTACGAGGGCTCCCTCACCACGCCGCCCTGCACGCAGAACGTGCGCTGGTTCGTGCTGGCCAACTCCGTGAAACTCTCGAGGACTCAGGTAACTCCTGCCAGCCTTGCCGGCCCTGCCCTGGCTGCCGAGTTCCGCTGGGGCTGACACCTGGGGCTCGGTGGCATCTGCCACGTCCAGTCTGCCGAGCCTCCTGGGTGACTGTGGGTGGCCTCACCGATGCTGTGGCAGAGACTGGTAAACCCAGGCAGCGCGGAACCCACGGAATCTATTCACTGGTGTGCAGTGAGGCCAGTTATCTTCCCATGCCAGTCGAGAACATTTTTTCACATGGTAGGAAGTCAATCTGGGTGCACACCTGTAATCCCAGTGCTCGGGAGTCTGAGGCAGGAGGATCGAAGTGAGTTTGAGGACAGCCTGAACTACATAGCAGGACCCTGTATCAACAAAACAAAACAACAACTTTACACTAAACACATCCCAGTGAAACTGTAAAACAAAAGACAAAGAGAAGATTTGAAAAGCTGAGTGAGGGAGCAGTTGTGAAGAGAGCCATGAGCCAGAGAGCTGACCTGACCCAGGTGTGGTGATGGCAGGAGGCACTGGGTCCTGCTTCCCAGCGAGGGAAACTGAGGCCGACTCTGACTGGACCTTCAGCCAGGGTGCACACAAAGCCCACGGCAGTTTCAGAAAAACAGAAAGTGAGCTTACCACTGAGATATTTCTGTTTACTTCTGTCTCTCCTTTCTACTATTAGCAAAATACTCATTTAAAAACTGAATTACAGGGCCGGGATTTAGCTCAGTGGTTTCGCCGCCTGCTGCACAAGCACAAGGACCAGAGTTAGATCCCCAGTACCAAAAAAACGCAAAAAACCCCCTGAATGACAGGGGCCGGGCATTTAGCTTAGTGGTGCTGCCACCTACCTTGCAAGTGCAAGGTCCTGAGTTTGATCCCCGGTGCCCACAAAAACCAAACAAACTGATTACAGTAAAGGGCATATTGCCATGAATCCCTCTCAAAAGCCCCTCTCCCTTTGAGTGCACTCATCCCATTGTCCTTGCCTCTTTCTTTTTTTTTTCTTTTAGTACTGGGGATCAAACTCGGGACCTTGTGCTTCTGAGGCAGGCACCGGAACCACGGAGCTACATCCCCGGCCCCGGTCCTTGCCACTTTCTGCAGCAGCTCTGGAGTCCTCTTTCCTCAGTGTCTTGTGCTGTGCTGTTGTGGCCACCTCGATGTCCTGAATCGATTCAAAACATTCACCTTTCGTGGTCATTTTAACTTTGAGAGGAGCCAGAGTGTCCCACGGTGGCAGATCCAGGGAACATGGTGGATGAGGACACCATGTCATGTTTTACTTGACAGCAGTTGCCAGAAACATTTCAGATTGATTCAGGACATGAGACAGCCATGAAATGATGCTCATGAAAGAGCACTTCCAGAACTGCTTTGGAAAGTGGCAAGAACAATGGGATGCATGTGTTCAAAGCGAAGGGGAGTATTTGGAGGGTGAATAATAGCAATCTGTCTTTTATTGAATTGATTGATTGATTGGCTTTTTTTTTTTGGTACTGGGGATCGAACTCGGGTCCTTGCGCTTGTGCAGCAGGTCGAGAAACCACTGAGCTAAATCCCCGGCCCTTGATTGGCTTTTTGAAACAGAAGCTCACTAGGTAGCCCAGGCTGGCCTTAAACTCACAACGATCTTCCTGCCTCAGCCTCTTGAGTGCTGGGATTTCAGGTTTAGGTCACCACGCCTGGCCTTTTGTCTGTCAATTTCAACTTTCACCATAGTTCTGGATCACACTCAGCATGGGGGCACAGAACACCTACCACCTCCCCTGGACTGGAGATCGCACAGGACCTTCTCAGGGCTGGGGATCCAAGTGCTGCTCCAGGCGCTGACTGAGCGCTGGGCAGTGATTTGCTTGCCGCCACTCTCCCGCAGGTCTGGAAGATCGAGAACACGCTGCTGACGCACCGCAATCGGACGCTGCACAACGGGTACCGCAGCGCCCAGCCGCTGCACGGCAGGGTGGTGGAGGCCAACTTCCGCTACTTCCCCGACCCCCGTGAGTAGTGGCCCGCGCCCTCAGGTCCTGTCCCTCCCTGCTCGGGCAGCCACAGGGCTGGGACGGGGGTGGCGCCGGTCCAGGCACAGGAGACAGTGGGAGGAGCGGGAATGACGTGTCCGGGTTCTTGGGTGGGCCGGGCCCACGCTGACCGCGCTGCCCTGGGCCCAGGGGTGTCCTGCATGCAAGCCGAGCCCATCCGTGCTGCTGCCGCTTGGTCCTCAAGGCCGCAGGTCGTTTCCTGCACCTGCTTGTGGGTGAAATACCGGCCCGGGGTGGGCAGGAGCTGTTCCGCCTCTCTGACCCCGCTGGTCCTTTGGGTCAGGTTCCAGCTGGGATCTCAGCTCACCTCAGCGCTCTGGTGGCAAGAATGCAAATATTTCTGGGTGTGGTGGCCTACACCTGTCATCTCTGCATTCAGGAGGCTGAGGCAGGGGGATCGCGCCGTTGAGTTTGAGGTCAGCCTGAGCTCCATAGTGAGTTCAAGCCAGCCTAAACTGCATAGCCAGGCCTTGTCTCAAAGAAATAAAAAAAGCAAGGGATGTAGCTCAGTAGCACCACGCCTGCCTTGCAAGTGCAAGGTCCTGAATTCAATCCCTGGTACTCAAAAAAAAGAATATTAATACAACAAAATTAAAAAAAAAATTTGAGATAGGGTCTTGCTAAGTGAGAGACTTCGTTTCCCAAAGGGTGGAGGCCTCCTACACAGCTCCAGTTTCTCACAGGCTGCAGAGAGAGAGTAAATGTGTGGACTTGTTTCCTGATTATAGGTTTCTCTAGGTTCCCCTGGTTTGGTTTTGTTTTGTTTTGGTACCAGGGATCGAACTCGGGTCCTTGTGCTTGCAAGGCAAGTGACGGAACCACTGAGCTAAATCCCTGGCCCTCCCCTGGTTTTTTTGGGGGGGACAAATTTTCCCTTTTTTGTTTTGGTACCAGAGATCGAACTCCGGACCTTGCTTTTTTTCTTTTTGAGACAGGGTCTCACTATTCAGGCGGGGCTTGAACTCACCATGTAGCACAGGCTGGCCTCAAACTTACTGCAATCCTCCTGCCTCAGCCTCCCAAGTGCAGGGATCACAGACGTGCACCACCACACCTGGCGGACCTTCCAAATTTCAACCTTGCCAAACGAATTCTTTCTTTTTATCCCGTGTGTTCTAGGCTCCGAGTACAAGTTTTACCTGGACAGGATAGAGAACAACATCCAGTACTTGGTTGGCTCTCTGGAGGAAGCGAAGCGCCGGCTCTAACTGCAGGCAGCAGGGCCGTGGCCTGGTGGAGGAGGCCTGCGGCAGGCGCCCTGCACAACAGCTGGACTTCTGACTGCAGCAGGGAACCCTCATGGGGACACGAAGGGTCCTGAGGCCACGGCGCCAGTGGAAATTGATTGGGACAGAGATGTCAGCCGTTGGGCTGCGCCTCACTCACGTGGGCCCGGGTGCAGCTCCATGGCGGGCGCTGGAAAGTAAATCACCACTCACTTGGTCTAAATTATAAATCAGCACATGCAAGAGGTCACAGGAGACAAATAAGCACAAAGGCATCGCCTGTTCATGGGTTGAAGAATGAGGAGGGAGGGCTGGCTGCCGAGGACACGGGTGCAAATAGCCGTGTCTTGATTGTGAGCATGGCTGCACAATGGTACACACTTGTTTACCTGCACGCAATAATGCTATTTCTTTAATGAATGTATCACACTGTACATAAATTATGCATAAATTATAAAGTAACGTTCACTTAAAAAAAAAGAAAAAAAATCAGCCTGAATTTCTTTAGCATTTAGATGTAATAAAATGATTTTGGAAATTTGTTTTAAAATGTTTCTGTTTCTCTGTACCACTTCAGATACCCCTGCACACACGCACGCGCACACCCCCTTTTTCCCTACTCCAGAGGGCCCGGGTGAGAGGTGGAGGTCAAGGGAGGGAGGGTTTCCAGGACTAAGAGTAGGAAAAAGGAAGGGGATTCTTCTTCTATAACCCTTTAGGCCAGAAAGCAACAAGTCATGTAAGACCGCAGTCGCCATGTCACTGGACCACGCTGAAGGGACTCGGGTGTGTTCATCCAAAACTACAAGGTCAGGTGACTGGGTGTGGGGGTACACATCTGTGTGACCCCAGCAATGGGAAGCTGAGGCAGGAGGATCCCCTGGAGTTTGAAGCCAGCCAGAGCTCAAGTACTCGTCCTGTCCGTCCAGTTTGAATCTCAGCAGCATCTCAGTGTCGGCTGTTTGTGTCCTTCGGCTGCCAGAACCAGTGGTCACTACCCTGGCTACACCGGCAGAGACTCTTTCAGCCGCAGTCGCCACCGCAGGGTCTGGCGGCCGTGTCCTTCAGCTGTCCAGAGCTGGCCAGCTCAGGAACTCCATCTGCAGACTCAGTGGTGGACCAGGCAGCGGCCATCGCTGTGTAGCCCAGGCTGGCTTCAAATTCTCAGCAATCCTCCCGCCTCAGCCTCCCAGGGCTGGGATTATTGTCTGCTCCTTTTTCACACCAAACCTGAAGTACCTAAGAACATCTGGTTCCAGAGGTGCTCAGTGAAAATGTGCTGAATGAATGAATTTGTCTGGCCTAGATAAAGAATCAACAGGAAAAGAACCAGAGAGAAAACTCAGAGAAAGAGACACACTGAGGATTTGCAGGAGAAAGAGGAGACATAGGAATGATCAATAAATCCCTGAAGCCGGGGGTGGCCCACACCTGTGATCTCAGCACTCAGGAGGCTGGGGCAGGAGGATTGCCACAAGTTTGAGGCCAGCCTGGGCTAGATAGTGAGACCTTGTTTCAAACAAAGCAAACAGGAAAAGCAGAGAAGGAAGGAGGAGCCCCAGACCTTTGCTGTGTCTGTAATTCCACTTCTTGCCGAAGGTGGGTTGTGCATTCAAAGGTATTTATTATGCTTTATCACTGTTTATTCCCTTAAAACACAAACCAAATCATGCCCTTTGCCTGCTTCAAGCTCCGCTGTGGTTTTCGTCACAGAGAATAAATCCAAAGCCCTAATTGTGGGCTGCACCGCTGGCCCCTGGCTGCTCTGGGGACACGGGCTCCCTTTCTCCTGCCTGCTCTTCAGCCACACAGATATAGGGGGGCAGAAGTAACCCCCAACCCACTAGATGTCAGATACGCCGAGTTCGTGTCCCCCAAAGTCGAAGAATGAGTTCTAAGGCACAATGTAGGTTAAGAGCAGGAAAATGTATTGGGGAACAGGAATGGGGAATAAAAATAGCTCCTGGGAGACAGGAGGGGTCCCGAATGTGTTGTCAAGGAGCCCACTTCTCACAGGGAGTTTTATAGAGCAAAGTCCTGAGGGGCGGGCACAACATGGGTAGAAACTATCATCAACCAATAAGATTACGAGTACAGTCATTTCGGTGACACTGACCCAATAGCAACAGGGTATGTGGATGATGTCACTAGCTGTGGTCGATACTCTGGAGTCTCAGTGGTCTTAGTCTCAGCGGGTGGAGGAGGACGGCCCACCCCCAATGAAGATAATGGTCTATCTCTACGGGAAAGCCCCAAAGGGTGGTGCCAGTAATCTCAAAATTCTGTTCATCCCTTAGGGAAGTGTGTAATCTGGCCACTGTGACTTTAACCTTTAGGCACGTCTCCAGCCACAGCTTCCACGAGTTCTCATCCTCTGCACTGACTTTGAGTGCCTGGCCCTGTCTAACTGCTTACAATATTTCTACCTAACTTTTGCTGAAGGCAAAAATACTTCTACTTTTAAAGTTTTCTCGGGCCAGGGATTTAGCTCAGTGGTGCCACCGCCTGCCTCACAAGTGCAAGGTCACGAGTTTGATCCCCCTTACCAAAAAAAAGTTTTCTCAAGGGGTTGGGGTGTGGCTCAGTGGTGAGTGCCTGTCTAGCATGCATGAGATCCTGAGTCCATCCCCAATATGGCTAAGAAAAAGAAAGGAAAATCCCCAACCGCTAATTCCTACAATGGGCTCGGTGGCACAGGCCCCTAATCCCCGCACTCCGGGAGGCTGAGGCAGGAAGATTACTTCGAGTTCAAGGCCAGCCTGGGCTACACAGTAAGATTCTGTCTCCAAACAATAAAAAAAAAAAAAGAAAGAAAAAGCTCACCCTCTTTTGGGAGGCAGTTACATTTCTTCCGTCTTCATTTCAGCGAAAGGAGAGAAATGAAAGTTTGTGATCATCACTGCCATTTCTGTAGCTGTGGAAGCTGCAAAGACCCTGGTTTAATTGTGTGACTGCTGTTAATTTCTGATTCCAAATTTCTCTCCTACAAACCTCACAGAGGAGAAAATTAGCTGATTTTCACTTGAAACCTAAAAAAACAAAACTAAAAATCAACTCAAGAGAAAGTGAAAAGGTTTCTAGTGATAATAGTTTTTTGTACTGGGGATTGAACCCAGGGCCTTCGCACTGAGCTACATTCCAAGCTCTTTTTTTATTTTGTATTTTATTTTACTTATTTAATTTTTTTAACACTTTTTTTTTTTTTGGTACCAGGGATCAAACTTAGGACTTTGCACTGATGAGGCAGGTGGCAGAACCACTGAGCTAAATCCCTGGCCCTCATTTAATATGTTTGTGGTACTGGGGATCAAACTCAGGACCTTGTGCTTTCGAGGCAGGCGTGGGGCCACTGAGCTACACCCCCAGCCCTCCTTTTTAATTTAAAATAAGTTTTCCCCTTTTTTATTTTTTAAAAAGGGGGCTCACTGAGTTGTCTAGGCAGGACTGGAACTTGCAATCTTCCTGCCTCAGGCTCCCAGAGTGCTGGGATTACAGACTACCACCTCCACCCCTGGTTTCATGTGCACGTTCTGGTTTTTTTGGTTTTTTTGGTACCGGGGATCGAACTCGGGTCCTTCCGCTTGCGCAGAAGGTGGTGAAACCACTGAGCTAAATCCCAGGCCCTGCACCTTGTGTTTTACGGTACCGCAGAGCAGACCCCATCGCTTCTGCCGGGAACGTGCTGCCCTCCAGTGGCCACGGTGAGGACCGCAGGGCCAATGCTCGGAGGACCTGGGAGCGCTTCTCTTCGTCCGCCAATAAATGTTGGTAAACTGAGGCCCAGAGATCTAGAAATGTCCTATGGAAAGATTCATGCATATCAAGGACAAGTGTAGGTCCCTGGATGGTTCTAGGGAGTGGCGGGATTGCTCTGGGCAGCTGTTGCTGCTCGAACTTCAAAGGATTTTCACATCTATGCCTGTAGTCCCAGCACTCTGGAAGGCTGAAGCAGGAGGATCCCAAATTGGAGCCCAACCCAGGCAATTTAGAGACTTAGGGAGACCCTGTCTCAAAATAAATAAATAAATAAGTGCAGGCTGATGATGGGGCTTAGTACGGACCCAGGTACACTCCTAGTACAGTTAAAAAAAAAAAAAAAAAAGCAGGAAACCCTCCTTCGGCTCAGACGCACTGAGTTCAGCGAGGTCCTGAGGGTGCCCAACAACCCTGCAAGGTAAACACTGGTAGTATTATAACCTCACTCTCCAGATGGGAAAATGAGGCCGAGACAGCAAGGAGTGTGCTCCGGGGCAGAGCTAGGCCCAAGCAGGCAGGCGGGGCCCAGAGTCAAGCTGGGAGGTGCTGGCGTGGCAGGTGGTGAGCTCCCTGTCCACCGAGGCATTCAAGCCGGGGCCTGGCGGGAAGCCTGGGATTTCGGGGCCAGGGGTTCCTCCTGGAGACCGGGCTGAGGCAGCACGGTGTCTCTGGGTGTTGGAGCTGGGAGCCCTGCAGAGGCAGGAAGTGTCAGCAACCGGGGTGGGGTGTGGGGAGCGGCGCTGAGTCCGAACAAGGGAGGGGTCCTCAGAAGAGAGCCCAGGAAGGGACCTCGAGCAGCAGCCCACTTGCAGCCTGGTTTTCTGAGTGGCAGCTAGGGGGATCTGGGCCTCACGCTCTCCCTGGGGCTGCCACAGCCCCTCTGGTGCACAGCCCATCCCAGCCCAAACCCCGGGAGGCCTGCATCCAGCCAGCCCTGAAGCCAGGGTGCCAGGCCCCCAGTGGACACCCGGGGCCCAGCTCCTCCGGTGCCGAATGGGGGGCGGGGTCATGGGGCCAGGCGATCCCCGTACGCCCGAGTGTGCGCGCCAGGGCTCCCGGACGGCGCCCCACGCCCTCCCCAGCTTCTGCTCGGCGCTCGGCTGGGCCCGACCTTGGCCCTGTGCCCCCTCGGCAGGACCTTGGCCCGGGCGGCTCCTTATCTGAGAGAGAGCAGCAAGCAAAGTGCAAAGGACCGGGCTGCGGCCCTGACGCTCCCTGCGTGCTCCCGGGACCCGGGCCCTTCACGGTCACGGTGTCAGCCCTTGGACTCACGATGGGCGCAGGCTGGCCTTGAACTTGCAGCGATCCTTTGATCCTTCCCATCCTTCCGAATCACAGGCGCGCGCCATCTTAATGGCTTCTTATTTAAACCATACAGTGTGATTTGTGACACAGGCACACATACACCCATGCAGTTATCTCCACAATCAAGATAATGAGCGTCTCAGCTGGGTGCCATGGCGTGCATGCGTCTGTAATCTCAGCACTGTGGGAGGCTGAGGCAGGAGGACTGCAAGTTCAAGCTCAGCTTGGGCAAGTTAGCGATGCAGAAAGATTTTGTCTCAAAAGTTATAAAAGCACAGGGGTGGGGGATGTACCTTAGCACGAAAGCCCTGTATTCAGTACTGGAAAAAACAACAACAAAAAAGAACATTTCCATCACCCCAAAACCTCCCCCAAGGAGCTACTACTCTCTGTCTTTGCAGATTAATTTGCATTTTTAAGAATTTTATAC